AAAGTAAAGTAAGGCATTACTTTAACTGTAACTAGTAATGTGTAATAGATTACTTTTTTTTCAGTAACTATCACATATATCACAAGTGGCCCGGTGAACATTTTGAAATGACGTAAATGACTATGGTCACAGGTGAAAAGACGTTTTTTTTCAAATACTATTTGAAGAACGTCTTGAACGAATGTATTGAACGTCCACATTTAGACCATATTTCACAATTTTTTCATCCTCTACAATGTGCAATAATGCAATAGTGCAGTAATCATTACTTTGGAGCCTGAAATCACATCAGCATTACTCAACTGAAAGCCTGTACAAATACTTACATAGTCTATACTATATACTTAATTAAACATATCAAACATTAAATGTGTTGAAATTAAGTCTTCCTGTAGACCACATTTCACCCACCAGAGCAATATGACATTGTAAACACATTTAGCTGGTTAAAAAGAGACCTTCAGACCAAATATCACCCAGTTTTCAATTAGAAATCAACGTTAAAAATCCTGGTTGGCGCTCACTGGGGCAACTCATCTGTAGTAAATGGTAAATGGTAAATGTACTGCACTTATATAGCATCTTAGTCTTCCAACAACTCAAAGCACTTTACACTATATGCCACATTCACCCATTCACAGTGATAGCAAAGGCTAAATTCATTCACACTCATTTGCACACTGATGTACAGCTTTCGGAGCACTTTGGGGTTCAGTATCTTGCTCAAGGACACAGTGGGAGGAGGTACTCTTTGCATGTTACCTGTCTTATGTGCATGCTAGTATCACAGGTCAAAGGTCGTGCAGAGGTCAGGTCATTGCTGCCCAGCACTGTGGAGATGATTCCGTTACGATCCACTTTCCTGATCATAGTCCCGTCCACAAAGTAGATCAAACCATTTCTATCAACTGCAATCCCTGTAGGGAACAGAAATTCAACATAGTGTCATCCAGTTGATTAATAATACATCCACTTCAGGATGTAAAGGAGAAAATTAAAGTGAGGTAATTTTCCTGTGGAGGATAATTTAAAAAGGACACAATAAAGAACAAATAGAAATTCAATTCAGTTTTATTTCTATAGCACCAACTCATAGTAGAAGTTATATCAGGATACTTTTCATATAGAGCAAACCGTACTAAAAATAAATAGGAACATATAGGGCAAGAGTGTATTTTAGAAAAGTCAGCCAAGATTAATATATGAATGAAAAATATCAGAAGTGTTAAAAAGTATCGTATAGATTAGCAAAACAGCAGAGAAAGAATTTCCCTATGCGGATTAATAACTTCATTTATTTGACTAATGTGCCTTTATCTGGGGAAAAGGAATTCTCTAAAAATAAATGCAACTACTAGGGCTACTAGGGATTGAACAATGTGTTTTTCAGGTCTGATACAGATTATTAGTATCAAGTAAACTGATAAACGATATTTTTAAACACGGTATACAGGATTTGGAGTAAAAATGAAAATCTGAGTGTAAAAATTTAGACTAACCAGTGGTGGAATGTAACTCTACTGTGCATTTACGCTTGTAAAGTTTTAAAGTACTTGTACTACTAATTCTTGTGTATTTCCATTCTATGCTACTTTGTACTTATATACTGTACTATTTTTGCAGTTTTGCAGATCAAAATAAATCAAAATGATATACTGTAGAATTAGGTAACATCAAATTCTGATGATGTTAAAATATATATTGAGCTATGCTAAATGCTTAATTTGCTTTCAATGTGACCTCCTGAGCTTGACGAAAGAAGCACTTGTAATTCAGTTAGTTACAAGTGCTACTACTCAGCCAGCAGTGTGATATTTTTGTAGAGCAACCTTGCATGCCTGAACGGATCCAATTTGAAAACTTCAGAACCAATTCCGTAAATTATACATTGGCCAACTTGATTTTACATTCCCCTGGAGCAGGAAAAACATTTATAATTCTAAGAGGATACATGTTGCTGCGGTGTGTGAAAAACTGTCATCCTACACAAAATCTCTGCAGACATCAGGGACTAAGTTGTGGAATCTGTGTCCTCCAATAGCTAAAGTGTCCCTGTGATTCACCATCAGTTTCTGTTCCCCACTGTTCCCTTCACAGGGGCAACACGGTAACCAAATGTGTCATCTCCTCCGGAGCTTATTTCATTTAAGGCTTGTGGGAATTCTGTGTCTCCTGCACCAGTTACCTTTTAGGGACACTGATCATTGTCTGGTTCAGCACATCGTCAGTGTGGTGCAGAGAGTGCACTGCTCTTAAAGGGCAAGGAAAAAGCTGATCTGATTGTTCATGACTGGACCTAGTGATCCAGCCATCTTAGCAACTGCTCACACTGTTTTACTGTGTACCTCTAGCAAAAAAAATAAAACCATCACTATGCATATGCATTGTGTACTTTCACATTGTGTCATTTTACAGAGTGGTATTCCCTACAGTAAAAGAAGCAACAAAAACTATTTCAACCATGTCCTATATAAAAGCTCTGAAACCTCACACTCAGGCAAAATGTAAGCTAATACATCTTCAAAGATTCACTATTCACTTTCTAATAATAATTGACTCTT